TCTCCCTTCTATCAGGGCAAATAATACTTTTTTCATAGGGTTGTTTCAAAGATAATGAGGTCATGTTGGTACAGTAGTTAGTATGGTACCTTTTACATCCTAAAAACTCTCGATACCTAACGGCTGTCTCCACCAGCAGCAAGAACAGACGGTGTCTCAAAATTCTACGATGGTAATGTTCTTGATCAGTAATATCCTTATTGTTAAAATGAATTATCCAGATTTGTCTTAGTTACATAATTCAGATTTGTCTGTCAGTATCATTCTAAGTCTTGCTTAGAATTGCTATATTGGAGAGTTGTCAGAATCACTAATTAGAGGAAGCCTGTTAAAGTTTTTGAATCTCTTGGTATCAGGTGTAAATAACATTTGCAAAGTCTTAATGGCTACACATAATGTCGAAATGGCTGTGTAGTTATCTTTTTGTGATAAGTGCCTTCCGTGGTCTTTTCCTTTCTCAAACACTTGGAACATCCCACATAAAGCAGGGAATACTGTTTTCTACGTAAACCTTCCCAAGTATTTCATGTTTGGGAGCTAACCTTGTCTTCCTTGGGACATCATGTAGACTTTTTCAGTCTCAAACAGGGTTTCTTTCAAATTCTGATGTGAAATATGGCCTGTGAATTCCCTTCAGCACTTCTAAATAGAAAATAAAAACCACATTCTAGAAAGCACAAGGAAATACCAAAAATAAGATAGTGGGGGAGGCAAAGTTGAAAATACTGCATTTAAAGAGATAATCTGCATACAGTGTTCTCGACAGCCAAATTCTGGGCCTACGGGAGCATGCCTGCCCTGTCAGAGGCAGACAATAGGGTGGGTTATGTGGGAGGATGGCAAGGGAGCAACACATTCATCTGGCATAATCTTGGAAAAGAGTGAACTTCTAACCATTAGTTAAAATGTTGTTTTGCCTCATTTGCTAAAGTCACCAAGAAAGATCCTATTAAAAATTCAATTTGTTTCTTGAGTCTATCTCTGTATTACACTGACCTAAGTTTAAAGAAAGTTTGTTAGTTGGACCCCTGAGACATTCTGAGCTAGCCTAACAGGTGTAAAGGGTCACCGAGAAAGTAGGTGCTGCTTTATGGATGAGTCCCTACTTTTTAATTGTAACTCCAGGCCCTTTCTCTTCCAGTGAGTGCAGCTGGTGTTGCATGACAAATCGGACAGGCTAGTCTTGCTATGCGAAGCATGGTCCGTGGGCCAGCAGTTCCAGTATCTCCTAAGAGCTTGTTAATAATTTAGAAGCTCAGAGCCATCCTAGACTGGCTGAGTCAGATTCTGCATTTTAATAGGAGCCCTGGGTTATTGTTCGCCTATTAAAGTTTGAGAAGACTGGTCTAGAAACACATGGGCCTGCATGGTATTGAATTGAACTTCTATTCCTAATTCCATCACTGATTTACATTTTGGAAAGGTCACTTACTGTGTTTCAAGAATCTCCATTTTTTTCTCCTCCATAAAATAAAAATAGTTTTCATCTTCCTTGGCAAAGCCTGGGGAACTAGTTGAGGCAGTTTGTAAAGTGCATTATGTGGTGGAGGGAGTGAAAGTCCTGTTATTTTATGCAAGAAGACTGAGACTCTTGAGAAGAAGGCTAGCAATTGCATTGGAAACCCTTGACTGTCAGACAGAATTCATTTCTTCTGCTGGAGAAGACAAGGGAGGCGGAAATGATGGACTTGGCTTCTCTGTCTAGCGCGAGACAGACCAGCGGTCTTTACTGGCAATCTTTTTTTTCCTTGCTCCTTCTACAATCTGGTAAAATATGATAAATAACCTAGTGCTTCCTAATATGATATTATAATGTAGAACAATATTTACATAAAAACATGAAAGGGAGATTTTAAAACATTGCTTTATGCAGAAGCCCCATAAAGGCACGGGGTTAACGCACCAGCACTACCCTCTCTGGAGGGTTTGGGAAGACTCACCTGTGCTCTGGGGTCAGGTGTAAGTTGTATTTTGCTGTGTGCTTTTGTTGTCCTATGAATTCTGTTTATCATCTGCTTCCATTGTTATTGGATGTTCATTTTATGGCCCTGTGAAGACCTAAGCACCAGCCGTTAACAGCAGTAAAAATAATACAAAGCTCCTAGTTGAGTCATGGACATGGTTGGATCACAGGAATGTCCCCTGAGTATTTAGCGATATATTGTACATCTCTCAGAGTATGACAGAAAAAAGCCAATAGGGATATTTTCTTGACTCCTGACATCACCATTTATTATTTTATTGTCCTTATGTTTATGGGCAATTCTGGAATCCTGTTATTAGGGGTCAGACGTACGTATAGTTTTTCAGTTTCAGGGTTCCTCTGAGAAGGGATGGATGGCTAGAGGCAAGAACACAGCAAGAACATTTTCCTTTCAGGTTTCCCTCCATTTCCCTAACAGCTTTAACCTTATCTGAGCATACTTGCTCCTTCCCATTATCTCCAGTTTCTAAATGAATTCAGATAGAAAGTGTTTTTTGAACATTATTTGGTCATATTTTAGGTGAATTCTGCATTAACGTTCAGTAATCCCAACAGGTTCACTTTACCTGTGTGTTAATTTCAAAGTTCCACTATTTCTTGGGGGACTGGAAGATCAAGTTGCACATGCAACACACACACACACACATACGCGTGCACACACACACACACCACACATACATACCACACACACACCATACATGCACTACATGCAGATACCACACACAACACATACCACACACACATACCTCATACTACGTACACCCCACACTATACACACACTACACTATACACACACATAGACACCACACACACGTATGACACACACACACACATACATTCTCATGATTAATGCCCCCAATTTAAGTCAGGGAAAGGAATGTGTATGGGGGAGAAAGATAATTTCTGATATTTTTAACAGCTCCATTTTACATTCTTACCAGCAGTGTATAAGGGTTCCAATTTCTCCGTATCTTTGCCTACACTTATTACTTTAGCCATCCTGGTTGGTGCAAAGTAGTATCTCATTGTGGTTTTGATTTGTATTTATCTAATGACTAATGATGTTGAGCATCTTTTTATGTTGAGAAAAACTCACTTTTGATTTGTGTGCACAGTCTGAGCCAAAAAGCTTACTCGTGTTCAAATGCAGTTTTGAATATCTCCTCCTATTTGGAGTCTGCTTTGGTTGAGAGCAAAGGGGTTTACTGACCAATACTTTAAGTTAGTCATAAAGTTAGTTCAACATCTTTGCCCTCTATTTTATGAAAAAATATTGGGAACACCCGTGGTAGCCTTCTGGCAGTAGATAAGGAAAAATTAATTACTGTGTAAAGATTTCTCTTCTTACTAGAGTAAACTGTAAAGTAAGTCAAGTTTGCTTGATTTTGAAGCTCTTATATTAATATTGTATGCTTTTCTCTCCCCTTTGGAGAGGCCCATTTTTTTCAGTTCTTCCTAATGCCATACTTTTTAGATAGCCCTCTATCAAGCTTGTTCTCATGATAAAATGTGAAACACATAGACACTAAAAAGTACATGGTGAAATAAGAAATCTGGCTATGCATCTTTATTAAAATTATTTTCAGGGAATGAAGGAATAAAGGACCAAAGTTCTGAGTGGGACATTAGAGTGATATTGAGAGATGAAGATTTTTCTTTGGGTAACCTGTATCATTTGGGGTCCTTTCAGTTGTATGTGACTGAAATCTACGCTGAGAGTAGTTTAACAAAGGCAACATATTGGCTCCCGCTAGCTGCAAGGGCTCCAACAGAATCACCAAGATCCATGTTTCAGCTGTATCTTGTAGATTGGCTCCATTCTTATGATTCTTGGGGTGATCTCTGGAAGCTTCTAGCTCACATCATCAAACGTTTTAGGAAAAAAGAGAGCTTGGTTCCCTGATACCCCAACCAAAGTCTCAGAACTGAGTCTTCCTGGCCCCAGGTTGGCCTGACATGAGACATGCTCATCCCTGAATCAATGACTGTAGCCAGCATGGTGGAACTGCCATTAGCTTAGCCTAGTTCATGTGGTCCCCTCTGGATCCTGTGTGGTGTCACTTCACTGGAAGCATTTGGGTTGAGGCTAGCAAGTTGCGGTTAAGAAGTGGGGGTGGAAATATGTGGCAGCATGAGGAATGATCATTATTTCCTCAAAGCCACAAAGATCACATGGGGATTCCTTCTCTCAAAGGGCAGTTCTAAGAAGGACATTAAAAACTCATCAGAGGCAATGGTTCTCAAGCTTTAGGTTGTGTATTAGTTTGCTAGGGTTTGCTTGTCCCACCACTGTATTTTAGAAGCAGATAACTTGTTTCACAGGTTTACAGATGGAGAGGAATTTTGCCATAGGATGAATCATTCTCTGAGTCTCACCAATACCACATTTAGATGATATTTGGATTAGATTTTGGATCTAGAATTGATGTTGCAATGGGTTAAGACTCTTGGAGTTGTTGGGATGGGGTGAATGAATTTTACATGAGAGAAGGACATGAATTTGGAGGGAGCTGGATAGTGTATTATTATGGGTTCAATTGTGTCCTTCCAAAATTCTCATGTTGAAGCCCTAGTTCCAAAGTATGTTAGAATGTGACCCTATTAGAAATGAGGTTGTTGCAGATGTAATTAGTTAAGAGATGTCAGGAAGGTGAGCCCCTAATCCAATACAACTGGTATCCTTTTAAAAGAGGGAAATTTGGACACAGAGACATACAAGGAAAACACCCCATGAAGATTGGAGTTTTGCTGCCACAAACCAAGGAACTACCAAAATCTAGGAGAGAGGCCTGGAACAGATTCTTCCCTAGTGCCTTCAAAGGGAACATAGCCCTGTCCTAACAAAATACCATAAACTGAGTGGCTTTGACAACAAAAATTCATTGTCTCACAGTTCTGGAAGTTGGAAGTGTGAGATCAAGGTGTCAGCAGGGCTTGTGTTAGGATCACAGCATCTAATGATCTCAACTTGATTTTAACTGGGTTTATTGTTATTGCTTTTTTTTTATTTTAACAGAAGAAACAAAATTATCTGAAGATGATGAAATGGAGAAACTCTACAAATCGTTAGAACAAGCTAGTCTCTCTCCTCTTGGGGACCGTCGACCTTCAACCAAAAAGGAGTTGAGAAAATCCTTTGTTAAGCGATGTAAGAATCCATCTATAAATGAGAAACTTCACAAAATCCGAACCTTGAATAGCACATTGAAGGTAAAAAAAAAATTTCAGATTGTGGATGAACTCTGGATGTGGGGCAAGGCTGGTTCTGCAGAGAGATTCATGCTCACCAGTGTGTTTGTATGGGTGGAGGAAGGGCAGTAAAACCAAATATAATCATCCGTAGGGTCAGGTGACCTTTGGCATCCTTAAAGCACTAGCACATTCACACAGTAGCACCCATTGCACTTTCCTACAATAGGCCTTGATTTTTACATTCACTTTGGTGTAAAAGTTCAAATGCTAAATTCCTAGACCCTTTAACCTAGCACAGTAGATGATAATGAGGGCTTATGGTAGTCAGCTTGTGAGAATAAACAGTAATATTAAGTAAGATCTTGGAATTTCACCTGATTCATTAAAGAGTGCCGTTCCTCCTCCTACTACATCCAGAAGAAAATCTCTAGATTTCAGATAGAGCCAAGACTTCGTGACTCTCAGCCCTAGGCTCTGGAGCCAGGAAACACGATGAGAGATGGGCAATGGGAAATGTACAGTAGATTGTAAGGCCAACGGATGTTTTCACAATGGGAATGGGGGACAGGGTATAAAACGTACTGAGGCTATTTTCAGGGCCTCCTGAACTAAAATGGTTCTTCGTAACAAAAGCATCTGGCTTTCACATGCAGACTATAGCATGAACAAAAGGGGCCCAGGATACTTTGTAAAATCGTCCCAAATTAGCAGAAGATTTATAGATTCTGAAAAGCCTTGATAGATTCTGCAGTTTAATTTTGATTTGTGTATGTTCTTTTGCATCAAGAGTTTGAGTCTCTTTCCAGGAAAAAATACTAGCAATCAAAGGACAAAGCTACAAAGAAATGGCCGAGTGACTCTTAGTCAGATGTCCCTGTTAGTCCGTAGAATAGCTAAGCACCCCAAAAGGCTGCAAAAATGAGGCTGAAAAAGAAAAGGCATAGTAGTATTTTAATTATATGAAGAAAACCAAAATGTAAAGAAATTCTCCAATGTTGGATGATGAAAGACATCAGCAGCACTCCTGTAAAAGCCAAATATATTATATTCCATGATCTATATGAAGTTGATAAATACGTTTAATCATCCAATGTAATATACCATAGTATGTTGGGATTTTTCTATCTTATTTGTGATAACTGATGTAAGTGAATACATTTTTCATTAGACAAATATTTCCTGAATCTTACTATGTCCCAGACTCTATTTTTGGGCACTGGGAGCATTGAGTGCACCCACCGGATGGTAGAAATAGAGAGGAAAACAGAATGCAATGTGTTGAGAGGTGTAGCTGATACAAGCTTGGGTGCTTTGGTAGCCTGGAGGAGGGATATGGCTGCCTATCTGCGGCCACTGGGGACAAAGTCATGGAAGTGCCGACAACTGGCCCATGAGTAAGAGACGAAGAATATTAGGGTGAGAAGAAAGGACTTTCATGGAGGAGGAACTGGTCTATGATGAATGTATGTCAGGGGAGGGTACATTGCAGCCCATGTTGGGAGAAACAAGGAACAGGCTAAGGAGAGAGGATGGGCAGTTCAGGTCATTTCTAGAAGGAGAGACTACGGCTTTAGCTTTGCACAGAATAGCAACTCAAAACTCTAGACTGTCACAAGACCATGCCCTGACCTGGCCACTGGGAGGCCAGGTTTGTACAAAGAATTTTGGTTCTCTGTGACCTCCTGTTCTCCGTGCACTATGGCCATGGAATTTATGAATTCAGCAGCCTTTTGTTTTTCTCCCCATGTATGAGTTATCTTTTGTGAGGTAACAAAATACCCCCAAAGTTAGCACCTACAAACAATGAACACTTGTTAGTTCACTGTTTCTGTGGGTCAGGAATCTCTCAAGGTGGTTGGGCTGGTTGCTTCTCCAGGTCTCCCACAGGCTGCAATCCTGGCATCAGTTGGGCCTGCATTCATTCCTCTACTGGGAAAGGTGTGCTTCCAGGCTCTGTCATTGACTGGTTGGCAGGATTCAGTTCCTTGCAGGTTGTTGGACTGAGGTCCCAGTTTTTCTCCCAGTTCCTTGCCCTGTGGATATACGGTAGCTTCTCCGATGGAAGTTGGCTTTCCTCAGAGTGAGTAAAACAGCAACAGGGAGTGAACAAGATGGATCAGACCTGTCTCAGCAGCAACACCACATTACAATTACAGTGTTCTGTGCATTAGGAGCAAGACACTGGGTCAGCCCCTGTTCAAGGAGGGGAATTATATAAAGGCGGGAATGCTGGGGAGCAGGGAGCATTGGGGGCCATTTGGGGCCTGTTGACCACACCCATCTGAAGATCTGCTGTCTCTGTGCATTGCTGGAAAGAAGCCCTCTCCACAGATCCCTTAGAACTCACAAAAGTGTAATGCTGGACCTGGTGAAACATAATCCATGTTATGTGGTCCTATGAACCTCAGCACAAGGTAGGAAGACACACTGATGTGGAAATTGGCCTTCTTGGAAAGAAAAAGCACATCAGCCTCTTCACTGGAGAAAGATAATTTGGTACATGTTTGTTTATTCATGTCAAAGGGCTATAAGAATTATTTTAACTCTCTGTAATTGAATCAAATTTGATAATAATTATCTTTAAAATTCAGAGTAGTCAGGATAGTAGGTTGCCTTTGAGGAGGAGGGACGAGATTCCTGGGAGGGGCCACAGTACAGCTTCGGAGATGCTGGGTCGGAGTCCCCTCTGACCTCAGTGGAGTCACACAGATGTGTCCATCTCATTGGAATTCATCAAGCACAAACCGTTTTATATGTGTGTTTTTGTCTACGTATATTACGTTGTGGTATGTTTATTTAAAGAAATCAAAACTGCAGTGCTAACAAAGAAAGACAACATAGTTTCACGCAGAGACGATGAAACTGTTTTAACGATAATGTTTATATTCGTGATAGGCACATTTCATAAAGAAAGAAAAATCCCTACCCTGGGATTGTATTGCAACAAATTCTCTTTATGGAAATTCTAGGAAGTCGAGCAAACCATCATGTCATACCCTAAATGTAGATCTTTTGGAATTTCTGATAATTTGACATCCATTGACTTTTGGCTAAGCCTGTCTTTTTAAAAAAATGAATAATTAGGGGCACCTGGGTGGCTCAGTTGGCTAAGCGTCTGCCTTCAGCTCAGGTCATGGTCCCGGCATCCTGGGATAGAGCCCCAATCAGACTCCTTGCTCAGCGGAGAGCCTGCTTCTCCCTCTCCTGCTCCCCCTGCTTGTGTGTGCTCTCTCTCTCTGTCAAATAAATAGATAAAATCTTTAAAAAATAATAAAATGAATAATTAATGGATCCAACTGGAACTTGCTCTCAGGGTTATTCTGGTCTGTGTTAAAAGAGGAACGAACCCTCCTTTCCCCAACTTCTGTGGTAGAACACATTTTTGAGTCAAGTCATGTACTATTTGGAGTGAAAAAGGAAAGTAGAGCATTGTCTCTCTCGTGGTATTTTCTGGAGGCCCTGCCAAACCTTGCCTAACAGAAGGCAAGGAGGATGTTGTAAATGTAGTTCAAAGCATCCGGTGAGCCTCCTGTACCACAAGGGAGAGGCAGGGCCCGTGCGCCATGCTGCTGACTGGGGTGCTGCGCTGGTTAGCACTACAGATCCTTCTGTTGTTTCATTAATTTCCTTCCTCTCTAGTCTTCTCTATAGTTGTTTCTTTTATCCATAAAACACAGGCTTGAGCTAAATGGTAAGAAATTTGAATTGTTTAGAGCTGAAAACCATATGAAAAGTGTTAGCCCAAAGTTGAAGAGAACTTTTCCTAAAATCTTTGATCAGATTTAGAGGGGTGGTTAATTCATTTTGCCTTAAGAAAATCGGTTCTTTAAATTTTGTTTATCTGCAAAGATCTTATTTAATACTTTCAATAAAATATTAGGATCTCTCTCTGAAGCAGATGTCAAAAATTTTTTTTGTGTGGAATAAATTACAGTTTTTAATAATTTTTAAAAAATATTTTATTTATTTATTTGAAAGAGAGTAGAAAGCACAAGGGGGGCAGGGGGAGAGAGGCAGAGGGGGAGGGAGAAGCAGGCTCCCCGCTGAGCAGGGAGCCTGATGCGGGGGTGGGGGGGGCTCAATCCCAGGACCCTGAGATCATGAGCTGGGACAAAGGCAGACCCTTAACCGACTAAGCCACCCAGGTGCCCCTTAATAATTTTTATTAAGTTTTTTTATTTTCATTCCAGTATAATTAACATACAGTGTTACATTAGTTTCAGGTGTATAATATAGTGATTCAACACCCATACATGACTCAGTGCTCATCAGGATAAGTGTGCTCTTTATCCCCTCACCTGTTTCATCCCAGATGTCAAAATTTCTTAAGAATAAAGTAAAACTCCTTAAACAACTTCATATGAATAGCACTATGGTGATGTCAAAGGATGAAAGCTTATTTTGGGGGGAAAGATTGTTATTTGAAGTGCAGATGTTGAGAACTCAAAGGGAAGAAAGAAAATTCTCTTGGCCTTGCTTGATTCTCTACAAGCAATCTTTTCTAGTTACCCACTTACTTAACCTGCCTTCCCTCTGCTTCTGGTTCTTGGTCAACCTGCTTGTTATCACTCTTTGGCTACTTTCACACTACACAGTTTTTCTTTCCTTCCTGGAATCCAAATATATATTTTAACGTCCATCTATCACCATATTCTTGTTCTCTTGACTCAAAATTGTAGATCTCACCATTCAGATTACTATGTATATGTAGTAAAAAAAAAAAAGTAAAATAAGTAGAAAAAAAATAAGAAAAGAAAAAAGAAAATGTAATAAAATGCCTCAGGTAAAACATAAATTAAAGCTAATTGTAAAGAACAAATAATACATTTCTTTGTGCCAATGTTTGTGATCATCTAAGACCAGATCCCTCATTTGGGTAGAATAAATGCTACCAATTCTAGAATCCCTAAAACTGTATACAAATGTATAGATATAAATATCTATCTATATATTTATGTATAAGCCTATGTGACACATTTAATAAATAATATGTATATAAAAGACACACATACATATAAACCTTATTTTGTTTGCGGAAAGGATTTCTTCAGGCTTTAAATAGGATTCATGATATAAACGCGATTTAAAAATGGATAATTGTTCATTCACATTTTATTTCATATATTCTTTTTTTAAAAAGATTTTATTTATTTATTTGACATGGAGACAGAGAGCACAAGCAGGGGAAGCAACAGGCAGAGGGAGAGGGAGAAGCAGGCTTCTTGCTGAGCAGGGAATGTGATGTGGGGCTCCATCCCAGGACCCTGAGATCATGACCTGAGCTGAAGCCAGTTGCTTAATTACTGAGCCACCCAGGCGCCCCATCATATATTCATTTTTTTCCAACAAATATTTAGTGAATGTCTAGCATAGCACGTGGGGATAATAGCAGTGGGCAATGCCGTCAGACAAAAATGCCTGCTGTTAAGAAGCTTACATTTAGGTACAAGAAGAAATTAACTAACTAACTAACTAACTAACTAACTAACTTTTATAGTATGCTAAGTGATGATGGATTTGATAGGGAATAGAAGGAGGATGAAGAATGCTGATGGATTGATTTTTAACTAGGAGAGGCATGAAGAGGCTCTTTGAAAGGTAGAATTTGAGTAAAATCTGAGAAAGGAAGGGAAGTGAGTCTTGAGGTGATCCAAGGCAGAATGTTACAGGCAGAAAGAACAAAATTGCAAGTGCCTTGGGGTGGGAATATGCCTAGTAGGCTTAAGGAACTTCCTTAAGGAGGAGGTCGTGTGGTTGGAGTGTTGTAGGAGAATGGGGCACGGGCAGAATAGCAGTGGGCCCGAGGGCAATGAGAGGTGATAACATAAGGTGCCTTATTGCCATTGCTAATACTTTAGCTTCTACCCAGTGAGATAGGAAGCCTTTGGAAGGTTCTGAACAGGCGTGTGCCATAGTTTGACATATTTTGAAGGTAGAACTTGGGATTTGCTGGTGGATTGGCAGTGAGAGCAGGAGTCAATTATGACACTCCCGTGTTTGGCCTGAGCTACTGGAAAGGTGGAGTTGCCATTAGGTGCTTTGCAAAAGGCCATGGTAGGAACAGGTTTCAGTGTGTACTGGAATTTGTAGTGGGTGAGGCATGTAGAGAATAATAGGAACTTAGTTTTGAAGATTTTTATTTATCGGAGAGGGAGAAAGAGACAGGGCCTGTGCCCGTGTGGGGGCGTGGGGCAGATGGGGAGGGAGAGCGAGAGAGAATCTGGAGCAGACAAACCCTGCACTGAGCAGGGAGCCCCACACAGAGCTTGATGCCACGACCCTGAGATCATGACCTGAGCCAAAACCAAGAGTCGATTGCTTAACTGACTGAGCCATCCAGGTGCCCCCAGTAGGAGCTTAGTTTTGGGCATGTTATATTGAGATTCCTAGTATGTGTCCAGGTGGAGCTGCTGAAGAGGAAGTTTAGACAAACAAGTATGAAGTTCAGGGGAGAGATAAGGCTTGCAATATAAATTTGTGACCCATAGTATATAGGGAGATTGGGAGACATGAGATTACATGAAATTAGCAAGAACATGGATATACATAGAAGAGAGAAGAGGCTAAAGGCTGGGTTCTGGAGATCTCCAATGTTAAGCGATTGGGCCAGAATGAGGAATCAACAGGGGAGATTAAGAATAAGTGGCCATTCTAGGATGAGAAAAATCAAGCAAATGTGCCACAGAAATGACATGATGAAAGTGTTCAAGAAGGAGTAGTCAACAGTTTTAGATGCTGTTGATAAATAAGTTGAAGACAAATAGTTATTGGATTCAGCAACATGGAGGTCATCGATGGCCTTAACAAGAGCAGTTTTGGTTGAATCTTGATGGGCGTGGGTCTGTGAGAGAATGGGCATGGCGGGGAGGAACATTGGAGACAAGGAGAGAAGTGGAGCATTCCCTGGAGCAGAGATTTGGGGTTTAGAGAGGGCTTTGAAGATGGGAGAGGTGACAGCACATATAATGATCAAATGGAGATGGGACATAAAGGAGTCACAGGAAAGAGGGGAGTATTGCAGGAGTGAATTTCTTGAGTATGAGAGAATGGGTGATAATGCACAAATGGAGAGATTGTCCTTTGCTGGAAGCACAGAGATTTCATCCAAAAGAACAGGAAGGAAGGCTGGGATATACCTGTGTTGATGTAGGTAGTGGGCAATAAGAACTTGGGAGAAGTGTTCTTCTGATTGTTTCCATTTCCTCAAAAAAAAAAAAAAAAATTAGCAAGCTCATCAGCTCTAAGGGAGGATGGGGGCAGAGGTTGGAGTAGAGATGAAAAATTTTGAAATAGTAATTTGGGAGACTGGGAGAGAAAAGAGGTGGGAAAATATGACTACTGGGTGGTAGCAAAAGCCATTAATGGCAGTGGTCATGAATTTGAACTGCAACCGGTGAGCCTGGTTGTGAATTTTTAGCTACACACAGGCTGGCCTGGGGATAGGCTGAAAGATTGGTCCAATAGTAAACATGTATTGCATGTCTCCCTGGCACGCGGCCTTGTGTTCGGTGCAAGGGATACAGGGATGAATAAAATGCTTTTTGTCACCTTCCCTAAGAAGCTTTAGAATAGGGGGCATGACAGATCCATGAACATTGTATAACATGGTAAGTTCTAAGCATTGGAAGGCATGAGAGCATAAAAAAGCTTCTCAGTCCAGGGGCGCCTGGGTGGCTCAGTCGTTAAGCGTCTGCCTTCGGCTCAGGTCATGATCCCAGGGTCCTGGGATTGACCCCCGCATCGGGCTCTCTGCTCCGCGGGAAGCCTGCTTCTCCCTCTCCCGCTCCCCCTGCTTGTGTTCCCTCTCTCGCTGTGTCTCTCTCTGTCAAATAAATAAATAAAATCTTAAAAAAAAAAAAAAAAGCTTCTCAGTCCAGTTGAGGGGTTCAGAGATTTTCAGGAGAACATGATGCCTGAAATGAGTATAGATTTACGAGGTATAGTAAAATCCGGTAAAGAAAGATTGGCAAGTGTTCCATGTGAACGTAACACTAGGAGGTAGAGTTCACCAGAAAAAGATACGGAAGGTCTTCCATGTGGCACAGTATCACAGAGTATGAACTAATGTTACGTAGGGGGAAATGCACACCACCGTTGGAGCGGGAAGTGAGAAGGAAGTGGGGGGGTCAGCAGGTGGAGCTCAAGTCCATACAACCTCGGACATGAAGGGGAGCCATTACGAGGACTTGGCATTTTAGGTGATGCCCTGCACTGCCTTGTGGACGACGGATTTAAAGTGAGGATTGGAGGCAGGGACACATCAAGTGTGATGAACTGCACTTCATACCCCAAGTTAGGATTGCGGTCAGTGGGATGGAGGAAACAATAGATTTGAGAGAAAATTGTCAGGACTAAATGATCTTTTTTGAATGTGGAGGCTGTTACACCTCATTTTTAGCCCATTCCTTGCCTACAGAACATTCCCCTAACCTGAGCCAGACATTTCAGAAATGTGTGTTATTGGTTACGGAGGACTCAGGGTAAAATAATACGAATAGAACTGTTTGCTCTATTAGCATCATTGGAACACATACTGTTTTGATGGAAGGTTAGTAGTCTTTGAATAAAAAGATAGCCTATGTATTTATTTGGTATATGTTAATTAAATACATGTGTGTGAGTTATGAAAAAGAGGACGACAATTTAATAAAATAAAAATATATTTTGTATTATCTGATGTCTTAGGGAGAGTACTATGTCTCAGTTTTACTTAGTGAAGTTTGGGTGGTAATGAAATGATGGTACAATTATAAGTTTCAGAAGTAATAAGGCTCAGCCTGAGATAGAAATATTACTGAGGTGTGGAATAAGGATTGATCAGGGAAGAGCCACATGGAAGAACCTGGCTATATGTCTAGTTCTTCCACCAGCCTTTGCGTAGGATGCTTACCTTCTATTTGGCAAATATATGCAAATGGTTATCCTGCCATATCTCTTAGGCTTGGTTAGGGATTAGATGATTAGTGTGTAAAAACACTTCGCTAATTTTATGATGAATGTATATGTGTATTCGTAAAAGCGCTGAAGAGGGTTTATTGAAATTAAGGTACTCACTATATCTCACCCCCTTACCCCGCCTTTTTTTTTTCCTACTGGGGCAGTGTAAAGAACACGACCTGGCCATGATTAACCAGTTGCTGGATGATCCGAAGCTGACAGCCAGGAAATACAGGGAGTGGAAGGTGATGAACACCCTACTGATCCAGGATATCTATCAGCAGCAGCGGGCCCCCACGTCTGCCCATGAAGGCACCCCCGAGGGACTCGAGAAACCACCTTCCTCTGCCTGTGTTGAAAATTCTATTTGAGAACAAGCCAGCATTCTCTCCCCTGATCTCTTACCCCAAGTGACTCTTCAAGAGGTTGCAAGAGCTTTCCTTCAAAGGAATACTGAAACCAGTTCCTTAAGCATTGCCTCTTTCTCTAAAGATGCAACTGAGGTGAGGACCCACTCTGATGGCAGCAGGACTCCTCATTCTGGTTGGAGTGCTTTCATTGAGACTCGAGGAATTGAATTCAGTTGAACAAACATCGTGTTCCTACTCGGAGCTCTTGGTTATGCTAGGCTTTAAGTGGGATGTGAGAAGTGTATGTTCCTTGCTCTCAAGAGAACCACGGTGTTCTATGGACAAAGATCACATTTTCCCAGGGATAATTATTCATAGAAATGTTCTGTTTTCCAAAAGAAGAATGTACATATTCCCCTGGGATGGGTAGTTGAATTCTTCAAATCATTTCTTGGAGTGGGAGGAACATGTTTTACAGCAGAAACTGGAATGGGACAAATGTGGTTTTGTGGAACCCAAATCTCTTGCCTTTGGTCTGGAATGGTGGTGCCTTTTCCACAAGCTGAGAAATACTTCATGGTGATTGGTGTGTGGGAGAGCCCAAGGGGGAGGCATGTTCTATTGAACACCCTCTCAAAGGACAGCTTGATGTTTCCACACTTGACCCAGGGGTGGGGAGGTGAGGGATCTGATTAAAGTTTCCTTTCCACACAACAGCTAAAGAAATCTATCTTATTACTCGTAGAGACCTCTGTTCCCTCCTAGCTTTTCTAAACCACTGCAGGAGATAGAAATAAGTCCAGCAAGGAATGTTTGCTGCTTTGTCCCTGGGAGTGGTGCCTATACACAGTGTCAACTTACATCCTGTCTCCCCGGGATGAAGATTGACAAGATAATTCTGGTGTCTGAGTGGGTTTGATATCTTTACTCCAAAAAAACCCAACGAAAACAACAAAAGAGTTAAAATATGATTGTTTTATTTTTGTATGTTTGTGTCACTTTGTGTCCTATGTGAAGAGCTATCTATAATATGTTTGTTATTTAAGTATATTTATAGAAGTTCAAATTACTAGTGTTTTCAAAGATGGTAAAAAGTAATTATATGTTTTGCTCAATATATATTCTTCAAGTATATACTTTTTTGCTTGAGAAAATAGGAGTACTGTTGATTCGCTGGAGTTACGTTGCACTATAATGTATGAGGAATGCTCAGGATATCTTGTGGGATAAATGTGGAGGCATGCATTATTAATTGTTCACTTTCTGGCTTCTCTTTTTCTTTCTCCCTCTCTCTTTCCCTGCCTCTTTCTCAACCCAGAGGGCTCAGAATTCTGTCACTCCCTTAACCAGAAAAGGACTTTTCACCTTAGGTTATTTCTTCTAGTAAATAAACTCTTTAAGCTTTCTGCCATTTATGCCCACAAACCCTAAACCAAATGAAACACAACTAATATAGTCTTTTGTCTAAGGTCTGATAGAAATTTTGGGGTCTGCTGTTAAAGAGAACTCATTTTATTAGAGACATAACATGAAAATCTTCCCATTTTAATCACCATGAATGTTTTTCATCCTACGAATAACCACAACCCACCAAAAACCCATTTTGCCCTTACCCCTAGCTAATTGTCAGCCCAGTAGGGTGTTTCAGAGAGTTAACATGTGGCCTGACATTCAGATGGAAATAACCCTCTGAATTTTATTTGCAGACCAAATGGAAAGAGTCCTTGAAGGTTTCCCCAAGCTTTACTCAGAAGTGTTAATACTTTGTAAACAAAAACAACCTAGGTGTTAAGAAAGAAAAACAACAGGAAACAAGTCAGAGTACTAGAAGCTTATGTAAAATAAGAGGGCATGCCTAGCCAATCTTTAGGAGCACCTGCTCCTAGTGTGATGTGCTGGGGGAAGGACACAGGCTACATAGGAGCTTGGCAGGGCAGCGGTGGCGGCGGGGGGGTGGGGGGTGTCCTGGCTTGTGGTGAATTTACTGTTGGCTCCGGCGGTGCTGGAGAGAAGTAACCATGTAGGACCTCAGATGAGACCCTGAAATTCCTGTTTTGAGAGGCTAGTGCTTTCATCTCTTTTCTCTGGGAGTTATTGATTATTTCTACAATTAGCAGCTGTTAGAAGGTTCATTGTTTAGGAGTCACAATGTAAAGAAAATGTTGAGGGAAGGAGAAGTGCTAATGGGCAGAGTTCTCTTCCACCTTCTTTCCCTTGCCTGGAGATACCAACCTAGAAACTTCAAAACAGTCTTTTTAAGTTGAAGGGCACAGAAGCTTTTGGCCAGGCTTGGGAACACATGTCAGTGCTTTGCTTTGGCTTCTCATTAAGGCACACAGAACTGACCATTGAGTGTAAATTCCTTTAGGAGAGCTCAAAATTAAAGGCAAAATGGGTCCATGAGATTCTTGAGTTGAGCCTTTCAGTTATTTTTCAAAGTTGTCAGTCTAGAAGCCCTGCCTCTGTGAAAACACTTATTCCGCAGAACCTTCCAGAGGAAAGTCAGACCTAACTGCCCAGTCTTGCACCCCCTCTTCTAAGACCAAGCTCGCCTGCTTGTCAGGGTTTTCCGCTCTGTAAACGCTTTCCCTCTGCATTACCTTGTGCTAGCAAGTAGGGGCTCCCAGTTTCAGCTGTGGCCACTGAGAGGAAGTGGGGGTGGGGGCAGTAGGAAATGATAGAGTGGGTGACACTTTCCATTCTACTCAATTTAGGAATAACCCTGCCATTTTTCTGGTGCAAAGGATACTGGGAAAACTGGATTACTTCCAGTTTATTCCTGGGAATGGGGGCATCTCTGAAATGGATTTCGGGTAGTTTCATGGGGTCTAAGGGGTGATTCTTTTACCCACTCCTGTAGACATAGGGTCTGAGGGCTGTGGAATGACCCAGAACCATGGCTGCTCAGGAAGCAGAGGATCTGAGCATAATCGGGTCCAACCCTCTGGCACCGGCTGTGGATTAGGATGCGGCTGGGACTCGTCTTTCGGGTTGCAGGGAGGCCCCCTTCTCTCTGTGGTTAGCCTGTAGACCCAGACTAGTGCCTGATAGGATACTTCCGTGGCTGGTACATTGCGGCACACGCCGAAATGAACGGTCCCACACTTGATAGGCATATACTGCTTTTAATAATTCTTAGTTCTGGCACAATCTTAGTGTAGCATCAAAGACCCAGGAAGAATCATAACGTATACTACTGCAAAGACTCCAGGAAGCCTAAGAAAGATTGTGTTTGCAGTCAGATTTCAATGTGAAACCCAAGCCTTATATTTATGTAGCACTTTGTAGTTTGCAGATCTGTGTGTTCAGGCTCCCCCCGTTCCCTCCCCGGTGGTTTTTGCAGGGATGATGGTGGATTCTCATTCCTCCTTTTTCACGGGGGGCGGAAATAAGCTCCTCTCGCCCCCCTCTCTCCCCTTTACCTTGCGCAGTCACTGTTGGGCCCCAGCCCTGGGACGTGTGGTGTGTGTGCATTGCACCGGACCGGGCACACCTGTGGGGTTTTTTGTGAAGTCAGCCATTGGAAACCTGAGGGGGCCTCTTCTTTTCCTCAGGGCTGAAGAGTCACTGTCCCTCCCGTGGCGCTTGGCTGCTGGGTTGACTGGATTGCGGTGTGACCTAGTCACTCTGCTTCCTTTCCTTCCTTCTGGAAATTACACTGCTTGTTTTAGGTGCTGTGAAATCCTAGGAGGAAAGAGGCAGTTAAAGAAATGGAATTCATTTATTTTCTTTTAAAAGCATGTCAGGAGATGTCAGAGAGCCTAGGGACTAGGAGTTAGGCCCTCCCCCTTCCTCTCGCAATTTCTTCTCCTGTAATTAGGTAGCTTCCTCAGATAGACTTAAAATGACGAACAATATCATAGAATTGAAACAGATAAAAAGAAAATACACTTTAAGTCTTTTGAGGAGAGGTACTAGACAAATTCCAGCCATATGTAAATTTATGGACACACACCTCTTTTAAGATACTCTCCTTGAAAGGTAATATTTTGATATATAGCCTCACGGAAGATTTAAGTGAGGAATTTAGGTACAGAGGATGCCTATCCCAAACAAGCCAATATAATAAAAATAATAACTTTTGGTTAGTTTTAGAAGACCTCTCTTCTTCAGTCTAATAAAATATGGTATTTGAGATTTCCCAGTTTATTTTCCTTCCTATTTTTTTGTGTGCTTACCTCACAAGAGAAATCGAGTCTTAGAAATGTCAGGTGACTGCCCCGCTAGGGTTTTGTAATGTGTAATTAAAAAGGAAAGCCCCTGAAACTAGATTTTAACAACCCATATGAAATGAGTGAAGGCGGAGGAATAATTCTAACCTTCACAGAAACCACCTCTCTCTGTGAGCAAGATGCCGAACAGCTCCATGTTTTTCTACATTGTGAGACAGGAAGCAATTTCCTTGCTTCCTCTGCACGTTTTCCCTCTTCCCCATACTACCACAGACCACAGAAAACACGAAAAATGGTTTTACATTTCAAAATGTTCTTCCATATCTCTTCCCGTGAGACTTAATGGCTCTATATTGATATTTCTTTATGTTGAGTCCAAAGGGGAAGCATGCTCCGTGGAGACGTTTAGCATCCCATAATAAACACCAGGAGTTGTAATCACCATAGACTTTCATGTCCTTGCATGATGGGGATGTGACTTTTAGCACTGCATGGTGTTTGGGGCAAGATGACAATGTGGAAATTATCTCTTCAATCTCATTGTGCTTTCATTCTCTGTCACCTATCCTCTTTGAACTGGAAAAAGAGGCATGGCTCATTTCTTCTGCTTTATGTTTTTTAGATTGACTTGTAAAATACGAATAAAAACAGCAGAAAATATATCTAGTAAAATGACATAAAAAAATGGAAATCTACTACTGGTATTCGTTTTCTGCCCTGCTGTGTTGCTTCTTCCAAGAACAAACTCGCTGGGAAGGGTTTGATGGCTGGGCTTTTAGCTTCTACAAAGGTTGTGGTGCCCTCTGGTGGCCATCATAAGAATAACTGACTCGATGATTTTATTTTTAG